TCATTGTCCTCCTGGCTAATCAACTTAGGAATATAATTCAGGATTTGTTCAGAGTTGAGAGTTCCATTAGAAGATTCAGAATCGGAAAATAGATTTTGGAAATGCTGAACAGCCGCCTGACCAATTTGTTCCATGTCAGTTAACCAGGTACCATCCTCATTCTGAATGCTGCAAATAGTCTGTCTTGAAAGTCTACCTTTAACAAAATTATGAAAGGTTTTAGTATTGCTATCCCCACCTTTAAGCCACTTGATTCTAGCTTTTTGCTTCCAAAACTTCTTTTCCTGCTTATAAGCCAAAACAAGATCAGCCTGAGCTTTATGCCACCCTGTTCTATTAGACTCAGTAGGATTTTCGTCATAAAGTCTTTCAGCTTCATCAGCATAGGTCTCACATTGCTTGACTTTTTCAAAAATATTACCAAAAACCACTGAATTCCACTCCTTCAAATCTGTTTTAAGTTGTTTAAGCTTAAGGAAAAGACCCCTCATACCTCTTCCAAAGTGATAATTGCTCCAGCTTTTAGTAACCAGATCTTTAAAATTTGTGTGGCTGATCCACATATTTTGAAATTTAAAGGGCTTTGGGGCTGAAAAATGTAACCTGCTACATTTGATTAAGATAGGAGTATGATCTGATGATGTTTTGTTGAGGTGCTTAATGAGAATTCCTCCAAAATATCCTGAAAATCTTGGTTTAATAGCATTCTATCCAATCTACGCCAAACTCTACCATTCCTTCTCATGCCTGACCAAGTGAATTTGCTCCCAATCCAAGGCAGATCAATTAAGTCACAATGTGAAATGCAATTATTAAAATCAGCCATACTATTAAAATCGGGAATGGAGTTGCCTTTATGCTCATCATAGGAGGAAATAGCATTAAAATCACCCCCAAGTAGCCAAGGTCCCTTATTATTATCATACCAGTTAATAAGAAAATCCCATATTTCCTTTCTCTCCCAAGAGGTACATTTGCCATAAATAGAAGTAATCCAGAAAGAGGAATGGTCCAAAGTAACATAACAATGTACCAGTTGTTCCTCCCAAATAAAATGGGAAACCGAAAGGATAGCAGAGTTCCAAAATAACCAAATTTTACCATTAGGGTGGAGCCAGCAATCAGAGAAACCCAGTTCTCTTCTGAAATCATCCCCTTTATTGTTATCTACCATAGGTTCACAAACAGAAAGAAAAGAAATGTCCAACTGCCTGATAAGAATAGAGAGCCTTGGGCAGGAGGAAGAAAGGCCTCTTGTATTCCAGAAGATACAGTTCATGAGGGGGGGTGAGGGGTAGCTTGAAGTAGCCTCTTAGCTGCATGTCTTGTAATGATAGAAGAGGCCTCCGATGGTATTCTGGGTGCTCTTCTCCTTCTAGTAACCTGAATGAAACCATCATTGGGATCCTTAAAAGAGTGGGTAGAATTCTCACCATGTAGCAGTTTCTCTGCTTGAATTTTTGCCTCTTGTTCTGCTTTTTGTCTAACAATAACTGCTACCTTGTTTTGCAAGGGACCCAGCTCATCAAGCCAAGTATGTTTGTCAGCAATATGTGGGGGGTCTTCACCATCAGATGCATAAGCTTTGGCTAACAAGGAAGTATCAAAATCTAAGCTATTCCTGATCTGATGCAGAGTGGAATCATCTGCAGGGGAGGTGATTGATGATTTGAAAGAAGGAACCAAGCCAGGTATATCCATCCTCAACAATTGTTTAGTAGGATAAGACTTAACCCTTTCATGTTGTTTGTCATTCACAGGCCCTTTAAGAGAGGCCTCTTCCTGCAATGAAATGGGTTGAACCTCCGGAGTCGAAGAATTCCCAGCAGTGAGCTGAGTGTCTGAAGCCGCCTTATGTGAAGTGCCAGCCTCCAGGCCATGAGGATTTCCAGGAGGAGATTCCATTTCAATTTCCTCATCTACTTCCTCATCTGTAATAGTGGTGCCAATAATATGTGTCTCAGGAGTTTCTTGCATAACCCCTTTCCCTTTTTCTTTTGCTGAAAATTTCTTGGTGGCATGCATGTTTGTTGCTGCAACTTTAGGTTTTTCAACCCATTTTTCCTTAGACGAAGGTACAATGGGCTGAGCACCCTTAGGTTCTTTTTTAGGACAATTAGCCGCTACATGACCCTGATGAAGGCAGTAGGAACAGTACATAGGTCTATTTTCATAGACCACATTCTGAGCAAAACCGAAGGAACCACAATTGATCCAAACCTTATGGGGCATCTCCTTCGTAAGGTCTAATTCAACACAAACACGAGCTATAGAGGGCCTCAGCAACTTCGCTGTTGCAGAATCAATCTTTAAAGGAGTACCAATGAGGCTAGCAATACTAAACAGAGCATTTTTATCCTGTAAGTGCAACGGCAAACCTTCAAAAGATAACCACACCGGAACCACAGGGGATTCCACGTTAGGTTTAAAATCTTGTGTCCATTTAGTAACACGCATATTAGATCCGCAAATAATCCAAGTTTGACGATTCCAGCACCTAAGGTAATCTTCTTCCAGATCAAATCTAATAAGAACATGTTTCTTCTCCAGTAGACCTAACGTAAAAGGCCCCTTAAATCCGATTACCTCAAAAGCCTTACGGAGTTTCTCCATAGGAGGTCTACCCCGATAGAAGTATCCGATCAGCGATCTCTTGTGTCTTTCTGCCAAAGAATTGGCATCATTTACTGAGAAACTGACCGTAGGAAGCCCTTTAAATCTCGAAAAGGTAGGATGAATAGATCCAAACGAACGATCAGCAACAACATCCGCAAACGATTTACCGGCCCAAGGATTCCCTCCCGTAGGAGGCTGCGCCGTCGTCAATGTTGAAGGGTCTGTCATCGTACGTCAAACATAATTTCAAGTTAATTTACTAATAAATGTACATTTTTGGTTCAAAAGCATTTCGATTATTTTTAACCGATGTCACTTACATAGTACTAGTATATTTTACTAATAAAATTACATTTTATGTTTATTCTTTTTATTATAGGTCTTTATTTTTTAATTGAAATAACATTTGTCGTTAAAACCAATTTAATGTTCCATAATAAAGAATTGAACTATGTATATTAATAAATATGTACATGTGTAAAATAAAATTTACACCTTTTAATTATTGATCATCCATCATCATACAATGATACAAGCTTGAAAGTTAGTTTTCATAATTCTGCAAATTTAACCATTTTAGATAAAATTTCATTATTTTTTAACAAATCCAACCAATTTAAGAGCCACCGACTAAGGGGCATCAGCACTCAACCGAAATGGAAAGCTTTTCTCGAAAATCTCGCTCTAAAAAAGGGTTTTTGGCATGAACATTACCAAAAAATAGATAATGGACAAAAAAGAGACCTTTTTTCAAATTTTCAAAAAATGTGACCAATAAACACCTAAGTCCCTAAATCACCCTTCTCAAGTGTTCCTTGAGCACCACTTGCATATAACTATGCCGCAACATTGGCGTACAGTGTATTACGTATCATTGCATTTTTTTTTAAATAGTATCATTGCATTCTCTTATCTTTAGCAATTAATTCTTCTTTCTACTTTAAAATTGTTTCCAATAATAGATATTTGGATGTAAATATAGGAGACTTAAATATTTAAATTATTACAAAAAAAAATTAATGTGAATATCGTCTCAGTTACTTCCACGATTTCAGTGACCACCGTTCTAGTTACTATCGCCGCTCCAGTGACCACCGTTCTAATTACTACCGCCACTATAGTGACCACCGTCCCAGTTACTATCGCTCCAGTGATCACCGTCCCAGTTACTATCGCTTTATTACCCGCCCGTCCAGTTATAGTTAAACAACCGTCCAGTTACAGTTTCCCGACCGTCCACTTACAGTTACCCGACCGTCCAGTTACAGTTACCCGACCCAACCATCCAATGCAGTGACTAATATCAATGACCAACGAGTTCTAGTTATAGCACTATGTTACAGTTACAAACATCGGTCACAAATTTTCAAACCGCAAACGTCACTGTCTATCACCACCGCCTCCGCAGTCAATAACCAACTTCGCTTCGGCAAGTCGCCCCTACCCCGCCTAGTCACCACCACCGATAGTGACTCCAGTGACCACCAAGCACATCCATTCTCCCGCCAATTCTCCAACAAGTGACCTCCGCACCACCACTTCTGGTGACCGCCGCCGCCGCTCTGTGGCTGCCCCCCTCCCCAGCTTCCCGAGCCACCACTCCATTCCCCCTCCCAGACCCGATCTACTCCCCAACTTCGAACAGCCCAAGCCAGCCACTCTTCAGTGACCTCTGTCCCACCTCTTCCGGTTACAGCCGCCACTGCCGTTCGTGGCCGCCGCCCTCCATAGCTTCCCCAACCACCTCTCCACCTCCCCCCATCCCCCGGCTACCCCTCCCCAGCTTCAAACAGCCCAACCCAGCCATCCTCCATCCCTCTACAGCCCCATCCCAGCTCGATCTAGCCCCAAACCCTAGCCATTCGGATCAGATCTAGACTCCAACCGCCGCAATGAAGCCCAAGACACCATAAACGGAACCCTGTCATTATCAGTCGCCCGTTGCCCTCCCTACGACCAAACAAAAAGAGAAAATAAAGAAGATCGGCCAAAGGTAGCGTCGAAGGCGACGGCGTCTCGCGAGAGAGAGAGCGGCAGAGCAGCAGATGGCGGTGCAGTGACCGTAATGGTGTGCGACAAGGGGTGGGGGCATGCGCGATACGACTATGCGATGGCGCTTTGCAGTGAGGACTGAGGAGAAACCAGACTTCGATGAGAAAGAAGAGATGCACTGTTCCGATCAAGAAGCGATTGTAGAATTGCTGGGCTCTTAGGGATTTGGTCGGGAGTTATTTTGAGGGCACTTTAGTCTTCTAATTTTTATTTGATCTGTTTTTTGTCCATACAGAAACCTAGTCTCATTTTTGTCAATTGGAAGTCTCATTGCATTATTCGGGTCATTCTTTCTCTAAACAAACGCTTTACAAACTACACAACATATAGAAGAGCAATCAAGGTCTTTTCAATAACATTGGTTTTTTCTAGTTTTACATATTTTGGAACTTGTTACAATTTAGGAACTTTATTACTCAGTACTAAGGAACTAAGGTCTTTTTCAAACGCATGTGAACAAGTAAATAAAATGTGCTTACTCTCTATTTTCGTTAGGATTTAAGAATAATATAATAATAAATAAAACTGTTTCTTGCGCACTACTTCTATAAATGAATCACACGTGAATGTTTCCACCTGCATTTGATCACATATACTTAGCCAGCCATGGTAGCTCCGCACAGTCTTTAAGTGCAAAAGTGACATCATCGCTGCAGCATCGCAAATGAAAATACAAAGAATGTTTTTAAATATTACGATAGTATTTAACTTTTTTATATTTAAGAGAATAAATAAATAACTTCAAATAATACTATCTCAGATAAATAAAAAACAATACATACTATACAAATAACTATTTCTTAGTCCAGCCATTCAAAAGCTTATGCAAACCATCAAAAAGTTGATAATTTTGAAGATAATTTGATTGTTAAAAGATTCGATGACCGTGTTTGATGTCAAAAAGTTGCTCCGCATTATTTTTGTTATACATTTGAATAGTTGATATGAATTTGTTATTTCTATAGTATGTATTCCTTATTGATTTGTCCGCGGTTGTTGATATTAATTAAATTATTTTCCGTATTTACAAAGAATGCTCAATGTACTGCTACCAAAATAGGCTCAGTACTACAAGTATAGTCTTACATAATTCAGTCATTAAATAGCTTTCTATTATATCTTCAACAACAAAAGCACATTCAATTAGACACTTAAAGTTTCATTCCGTCAAAATTTGAATATAACCACGTAAATGGAGGCTCTAAGGACGTGTTTACTTCGCTGCTAAAAACACAGTTAGGTTAGTACGACAGCTGAAGTGAACACACAAACTGCTTAGAAAGGCTGTTTACTACCCAAATAGGTGTTTAAAGTGTCGCTTACTAACCATACCACCCCTCATGTATTAATGAGGTGATAGTTTAAGCTTTTTCAGTTTTTGCATTTACCCTTACCCTTACCCCTTGTCGTAACCCTTACTCCCTAAGGCCCTAACTCAAACAACTCCCAGCCCCCAGCCCCACCGTACCCCTTACACATACCCTAACCCTTACCTCTACCTTAACCCTGGTCCTATCACACCCAACCCGCACCCCAACCTCCAACCCGCACCTGTTACTCCCTATCGGGGTAGGAGTAAGGGTACGCGTATGGGGTATGGGTAGGGGGTGGACCACCACATATTATATGCTACCTCCGTCCCGATAGATTTTGCCAAGTGCAAGTTAGATGAGAAATAAGAATAGTAAAAACTGTGTGGTTGAAATTTGTGCAGAGGAGAGAGAAATGTGCAGAACCACAAATTAGTTGCTTTAATAGGAAAGTGGCAAAGTTTTTTGGGACAAGTAAAAAAGGAAAGTTGGCAAAGTCCAATGAGACAGAGGGAGTGTATATATATATATATATATATATATATATATATATATAGGAGTGTGTATATATATATATGAGAAATGATCTTGTCCAGCACTCCCCCGTCCGAACACCGCCGTTTGGGGCGGTTCCCGGTGGAATTTTTCGATAAAATTTTTTGAGCATGTTCCTCATCAAGTCTAGTTTATACACAAAAAATTTCAGCTCAAAATTCGATCTGGAAGGCAGTCAAATTATTTTTTGAAGTTGACTGTGTTTTCATATGTATATTTTGGCACAGTCAACTTCAAAAAATGATTTGACTGTCTTTTCAATCAAATTTTGAGCTGAAATTTGGTATGGATAAACTAGACTTGATGAGGAACATACTCAAAAAAATTCATCAAAAAATTCCACCGGGAACCGCCTCAAACGGCGGTGTTTGGACGGTGTTTGGTCGAGGGAGTGTTGGACACGATCATTTCTCATATATGTGTGTGTGTGTGGATATGTGAATGTTTGTGTGTCTATATATGTATAGGGTTATTTTGGACATTTTAATGTTAGACGGTGTTTTAAATCTTGTAAAGTAAACATAAGCTTATATACTGCTTATTTTGCGAGCCGCTTATTAACGCAAGTCTTACTAAGCACCGCTTAGTAATCTGTGAAGTAAACATGTCCTAAGAACTCAGAAAGTGATGGCTATATTGTTGCCTGGGGAAGTTGAGCTGTAATTTTTGCAATTTGTGCTTTGCTCCTGGTTCACACACCAGTATTCTGCATTCTCCAAGCTTGCATCTGTCACCATCATAAAATTGTACAAGATAAGTTCAACCATCCCCAAGATCCCCCCCAAAAAACAATTGACCCCCTAAATATGCATCATGTTTATCCGTATGGAGAAAGTATTGTAGCTTACCCAACTTTTAGGAGTGAATCCCAACCTGGAAACTTTTCACTATTGCTTGTACAAAGAACTGCAACTGTCTCTGCCAACTGCAATGATGATGTAACTTCACTGGTTAATAGAAATATAAACAAACAGTACAAATCATCTATGAACGATAGAATAAATAGGGACTTCTCTCATCAATGATCCAGATCTCTCATGATTTGCTCAGATAATATTCATAACATGAGAGGAATGTATACACATCAGCACCAAGAGAGAAGTCTATTGTACATGAAAAGGGGAATATAAAGGTGCTGACCTCATCAAAGGTGGTCTCGCTCATTCCTGTCTTGTGAAGCTCATAAACCATAGCAGCCAAGAAGATCTTACTCAACCTTGGGCTGCTTCTCATCACCTGGAAAACATTTAAGAATATTAGTACAAGAACAATCCAGAGTCGGGACTTTTTTCAAGCACAGCTTAGCAAGGCACTCTATGCACCAGGTTTGGTTTCTATCATGAGTTGAGTTCCTTCTACACTCATTATATTATGTCCAATCTCCAAATGTTTGTTTCTGAGGTCTGATGTATGATCAGTAATAGAACATCTTTCCAGCAAATTCTGCTAATGAAAAAATCCAAGATTAAAAAAAAATATGGTGTTGTTACATATGGGACTCACTTGAATATGAGGAGCCTGGAACATTTCCTGAATAGCTGCTTCAACTTCAGTCATTCCAACTAGTATTTTTCCTGAAATATCCAAGGCTTCTCACTATAAGAATTTCTTCAAAAATAGTATATTTTAAACCCTTGTGATTTAAAAATGTGTCAGGTCACCTTGTGTTGTAAATAATCATACACATAACACACTGAAACGACAAAATTAGTAGTCTGGAAATCCAGGGTCTTTGGGTTATGATTAAGCATCCAAGTAAACCTATCATGATATACATATTGTAAAAACATACCGAACATTTTGTTTTATACAATATCAAAACTTGTTCTTCCCGGGTAGGTTCATGCTTAATAAAAAACACGGAGGGCTTTGGTGCAGTCTTTGAATAACAGGGTCACAGGGAGCTAATGCGCAAAAGGTTCCGGTGCATTAAGCCCTTATAACTTCTACATCATTTAAAGGGTTCCTAAAAAAAGTAACTATAGAATCCATTGCATGTAGCATTTTTATTTTCTTAATGCTTTTGGTCAGTAAGTGAAAAAGCAACAATGGGTCTCTTTTTTTAAAAGGCTAAAGGGTCAAATAGGCCCTTGAACTGACTTAAAGTGTTCAATTAGCCCCTTATATAGGAGGTTCTGCCCAACCGTCGCTAATTGGGGCGGTTCCCGGTGGAATTTTTTTATGAAATTTTTTGAGCATCTTCTTCATTAAGTCTAGTTTACCCATACCAAATTTCAGCTACAAATTCAACCGAGAAGGCAGTCAAATGATTTTCTGAAATGTACTGCGTTGTTTAACTTCGCAGTTATCTTCAAAAAATCATTTGACTGCCTTCCCGGTTGAATTTTTAGCTGATATTTGGTATGAGTAAACTAGACTTAATGAAGAAAATGCTAAAAAAAAATTCATCAAAAAATTTCACCGGGAACCGCCCCAATTGGCGACGGCCGAGCAGAACCTCCTATATAAGGGGCTAATTGAACACTTTAAGTCAGCTCAAGGGCCTATTTGACCCTTTAGCCTTTTTAAAATAAAACTCTTTTCCCTAGGAGGCCAAGGAGTATATATTAGTCCCTACAATAAACAAGAGAACTGAAAGGCACTTTGCTTGAGATTGAGGCATAGCAACTCTAAAAACATTATTTGATGTATTCCATGATTGAATAGATTGTTCATTGTTCTGTGAATTTCATAATCTTTTGTATAAGAAGAAAGAATCAACAAATGCAAGATGCATAATATTCACATTTTTAAGTACAAAAATGTGTGCTAATTTGCTAAATGAACTATTCATGAGTGCGGTAAATGGAAGACTTACCTGCTGCAGAAGAATGAATTTTCTTAAAACGGTAATCGGCAAGTTCTGCAGCACGTCTGCATATTTCCAATGCACGGCGGGCATCACCTGAAACAGCTGCCACCTGGATTTATGCAAATATAACAATGACAGATGTATACATTTAACTATGAAATATTTGCTCCCGCAAGAAAATAACTATGAAGAATTTATAGCTCTGTAGCATTAGATAAAATATTCTAACCTATTAAATGTCACTACCTTTCTTGAAGCAAATTCAATTGCAGGCTTTTCAAAAGCATCTATTCCATTCAGGCGGGTTAAAATAATTTCTTGAAGTTGCTGGTAGTTGTAGGGGCCAAAGCATAATCTTTGAATGCCCATACGACTTGAAATACGAGGAAGCAATTTCTCTGGGAGATCCATAGTATTTGCTATCCCTGAATTAGCAAAAAAGGGATATTAGTTATTTGTTTATTTTTCTTACCAGAAGCCCAGAAGGATGAATTCCCATATAAATAGATACAATGAAAGGAATATATGGGTGCCCACCTATAATAATTAGTCTCGAATGTGGCTTAGTAGGCCAATCAAGAATGTTATATAGGACCTGCCGTTTGAGGAGAAAGAATGGTGAACGGAATTCCAAGTTTATAGAAACTTATTATAGTAGGACAATAATTACTAGAAGACCGTAGACCATAATTACCGATTGGCTCCTAGTTACTAGAAGATCAAGTTCATCAATTAGTAGAATACAAGGGCGGCTATCCACTTTGCCACGGTCTGATCCATTTGAGAATCTCTCATTCAAAAGCTTGAGAGCTTTTTTCCAGCTAACTCTATGTCCTGATAATGATTCATAAATAACCTGAAAAGCATATTTCAATTACTTTAAAAAGAGGATACATCACTAACTCTTTAAAATAAGTTAAGCACTTACGCTGTAAACAGTTTCAGGGGAAGCCAATTTTAGACCATTAATTTCTATAAAGCAGTAAGGCTTAACACTTCCTGCATCAACCTCAGACTTGAGGTTCCTCATTACCCCTAACACACTCATGGTCTGCGGCACAGTAGACATAGTTAGAAATACAGAAAAGCTTATTAAGATTAAAATTACTTGCTAGTTGAGTAGTTCCACAGTAAGGGTACTTCCAGATCCAAAGATTACCTTTCCTGTCCCAGGAACACCATGAATGTACAAGCACTTTCCCAGGCAATGATCTTCACATAAGGAAACTTTGATAAATGCAAATATATCTTCCATTTCTCTGTGAAAAAGAATAAAGTAGAAATTAATGGCATCATAGACACAGTAAATCAATTTAGGCTGAAATTCAACATATACATACCTATTCCTACAAGGTAAATGCTTGGGAATGGTTGCTAACAGAAGTGCTGCTTTTGCCTTTTCGAGTTCCGTCAGCTTGTGGGATCTTACATGTTCAGGAATTTTCTTTGCTCCTATTTTCTGGAGTCCAAAAATCCTCCCTTTTCTTGAATTCTATGTTTTAAAAGATATATACAAGCCATTAGGACTTAATTTTTCAGGACATAACCAGTGTTCAGCATTACATAAAAATGCAAGCATACCGCAGCCAGTGGATGAAGGGGCAATTGTCTACTCAATAAGTTTTGTCTATTCTCATCTTCATGTTCCATATCATCTTCAACCTCTGACCCAGAAACTTCACAAGAACTGTGCTCCCAATCACTATCATCTTCTTCACAATCCTATAGCATGAATAAGAACCTAAATTAGAACAAAGTTCAAGCGAATATAGATATAGCCCCACTGTACAACTATAACCATTTTCTATCCTATGAGAGCTTACCTCTTTACCATCATCAATGTCAGCAATACGTTTAAAGCTATACCACTGGACATCATATTCATATTCACATAGAAAAACATCATCTCCCTCATCCCTTGCCTTGGAAAATTCATTAGGAGTCATAATGTAGCAGTGTCTGATGACAGATTCCATCTAGCAAACAGAATCATTACAAGATCAAAAGTTGATATAGGATATCAGGGTGTGCCGCTTCCTCCCATAAAAGACATTAAGGTTAAATTTATCAGTTTCCAGTATAAAATAATCAACTAAGTTTATTTAAAGATGATACACATAAACATACGCAGAAACTACTCACCCTCCATAATTGATGAAAGAATACATATTTTCGTGATTTCAAGTGCATATTGGGTTGTAAACTTATAATAACATACTTATGGCAACTTTTAAACTATTAAAAGAAGATTACCTCAACATCAGCGGAGTCATTAGTACGGTATAACTCCCTCCTTAAGTTATGTGGTTGTCTTCCTGCAGCAGTTTCTTCCGGAATAATATACCAATGAGCCTTAAACCAATAAGTACCGTCCACTTCTTTCCATATGCTGTAACTTATATATTCCCAACATCAAGAAACTAAAAGAAGAATGTGGGGGTTAATCACAGCTATTAGCAACTCATTATGAACAGTGATTTTACCTCTCGATTCTGGCTGCATACAGATCACTGGCAAGAAGCTTCTCTCTAGCTGTCCTAACCATTTTCTTTCCCTTAGGAGGGGCGGGTGATTCCAGAGATTTCCCAGATTTCTTTGCCTCGCAAAACCCACAGATCCAATCACCTTCTGGAATCTCTTTTAGAGGAGGGTTCAAGCACTTTAGATGAAACCCACCTAAGCATTCATCACACTCAAGCATCACTCTGTTTCCCGCCCTGAAGCAAACCTTGCATTCCTCTACTTCTGGATCTTCATCTTCTGAGCTCAGATCCTCTCTCCTCTTCACGTAGACGTCATCCCCCACTGAAAACTCGCCCCCGTCGTATACAACCTTCTTGTAATAAACTCGCTTTCTCCCAGATTTCGAGGTCCTAGTTTTCTTGGGACGGGTATTTTTGGATTCAGTGCGCTTCCTCTTCCACCCAGATTGAATTGGATCAGGCGACTTTGGTGGGGGAGCTAAAATGGGAGTTGAATCAGTACAGTGACGTTCGCGGTCAGAGAAGTTGTCGGCATTTTGTGAAGAGAATTTGAGAGATTTCCGGCGAGAGGAGTCGCAGGTGGAGGGACGAATCGGAGGTGGTGTTGAGGCTACATGTTTGAAGGAGGTCAGGCGGAGGGAGCGGCGGCGAGGCGTGGGGTCTAGGGTTTGAGGTGTAGGTGGAATTGCACGCGATAAATCTGAGATGGGCGGCTGTTTTGGGGGGGGTTTAAGAGATCTCCTTGTTGGAGTTTCAGCCATTTGCAGAAAAGCGGAGATAGGCGAGTTCCGGCTGTTCCGACTTCTGAATGCGACGGCGGCAGTGACTATCACTTCGTCGGTGTGAGGAGGCTATGAGTGGGGTCGGGAAGACCTGATAGAGTTCTGTAGAGAAAAATGGCGCGAACCACGCAGTTCTTTCGCGCGTGTTTTTAAAAAAGAAATTAGTACTTGACCGTTGGGTGAACTGCTGGGCTTTCTTGTGGCAAGATAAAGTGATTTACAAAGAAAGGGAATATTCTTAGATCATGTGGAGTGGTGTAGTATTAGAGCCCGTTTGTTAGCACGAAAATCGGCTGTTTTAGTTTATTCTGCTGAAATTTCTGAACTTCTAACTTAAGTGGCTGTATTGGCTGATTCTGCTGATTTAAGAAACAATTATTTTAAAAATATAGTTTGTTAATAAAATAAAGAAAAAATTATATGTAAAAATAGTTAAAATGGTCATCTACAGTGACTTCAGCCAAAACAGACAGAAAAGCCACAACTCAGCGCGCGAAAGTAAAAGTTTTGTGTTTGGTGAAAAAGTTGACCGATAAGCTAAAAAACAGGACTATCAAACGGCCTCTTAGACTACTAGGAGTCTAAAATGTTAAAATGAATTTTCAAACTCCTACTTTTATGTAGTGGTAGCCTGATAGGCTTAATGGGGTATTGAAAGTGAGAAAATGATGAAGAATGTTAGAAATAGTGAATGGATTGGTAGGAGTGTAAAAAGGAAAAAGTAAATAAATGAGGAAGGGATAGGCGGAGGATGTAAAAAGGAAAAAGTAAAGAAATGAGGAAGGGATAGGCGGAGGATGCATGCATGGATGTGGGAATGATGTTATCCCTTTGTCATTATAATCTAAAAAAAACTCTTATAACTTTTTATTTGTTCTCCAAATAATTCAAAAAATATAGGAAACATTGAAAATAATAATCTCAACTATTGTCGGTCCGCTAACAATAATCTCAACTATTGATTATTTTTGTATAATCTCAACTATATAGACCATCCGCCAATAATGGTCCATGACCGGATATTACCTGTTATAACATGTGAATTTTAAATAGAAATTAAGAGTAACAATTAAAAGTTTGGATTGTTTATAGGGATTACCTGTTATATCTCCTCTCGTCCACTTTAGAAACTATAGGAATTTATATATAGCCGGTCACGTCGGACCATTATTGGCGGAAGGTCCATAAAGTTGGGATTATTCTGAAATAATCAATAATTGGGATTATTATGAGCGGACCACTAATAGTTAGGATTATTACTATCAATTTTTCTAAAAATATACGGAGTATCAAACTTTATGAATTTTTAGGAAAAATTGATAAGAATGATCTCACCTTCCACTGGTCTTCTCATAATAATCTCACATTTACATAATTCAAGAATAATCCCATCTTTGCACCTCATATTCTTTCATTGGACCCTCACCTATTGATGACCTACAAATGTGGGATTATTTATATAAGGAGTAAAGGGACAGTTTGGTCCTCGAAGTTGCATAAAATAGGTCAAATAAGTCCTTATATAGGAGGTTCCCGGTAGAATTTTTTGATGAAATTTTTTGAGCATCTTATTCATTAAGTCTAGCTAACTCATATCAAATTTCAGATAAAAATTCAATCGGGAAGACATTCAAATAAATTATTGAAGATAATTGTGCACTTAAAAGCGCAGTTATCTTCAAGAATTCATTTGAATGCCTTCTCAATTGAATTTTTAGCTGAAATTTGGTATGAGTAAACTAGACTTAATGAATTATGAATAAGATGCTCAAAAATTTTTAATCAAAACATTCCACCGGGAACTGCCTCAAATGGCACGTCCGGACAGAATCTTCTATATAAGGACTTATTTGACCCCTTTTACGCAATTTCGAGGACCAAACTGACCCTTTACTCTTTATATAAGATTTTCAAAGAAATGGTCCAACGAAAGAAGGTGGTGTGCAAATGTGGGATTATTCTGAGATTACGTAAAGGTGGGATTATTACGAGAAGACCAGAGAAAGGTGGGATTATTCTTATCAAATTTTCCGAAATTTTGTGATCTTTCATATGATATCAATAAATAATGGGGTTTTTTCAAGAATATTACTAAAATAAAACATATTTACATAAATATGACCATTCATTACTACAATGTGGTGTTGTGGTAACTTAAGCTCAAAACTTGAACATGAATTACTATGATTTCATTACTACTCTAGTCATTAGTCATATTTTTGTAAATCATCTTTATTTTGATCATATTTATGTAATTATTTCATAAGGTAATATATAAAATGCCAAAAAAATGAAGTTTTAACTATTAGAGTTTTCTTGAGCCCGAAAAAACATGAAACACAAATTTTCAATTGATGGAGTCTCCATAAATAACTGAATATTCCATAATCAAATTTTACTTGAGCTAAGTTCATTTTTTGTTAACCAAAAAATGTAAAATAAAAGTAATGAAAATTTACTTATTTATACATCGAAAAGTGTATTTTTCATTTCACAATTATTCAGGGGAAAAAATTAAAAGGGAAACATTACTTATATTAATTTAATTACTGTTTTACTAAATTGATGTGTAAAAAAATATGTTGAGTGTATTTTATTGTCCGTGTTGGAATGTATGAAAATATGAGTTAAACACTGCTTTCATATGGACGGAGTCCATTTTTGACATGTTGGTGATTCTATGTTGCAACATCAGAATTTCCTTCCAATCATTGGACTACATCTATAGTATATGAGCATATGGAAGTTATCGCGGGACTTGAAGACCAGAAACTGACACTAAAATGTGTTTGTGTCCTAGAAAATTCAAATCATTTGGGAGTGAGATATCTACACACGACGTGATCAATGAAAGTTCAGTGGCATGGGGCTAAGGGCAACTGTAATCAGTATGACTCACCTCTGAAGGATACGATAATAAGAGATGAGGTTCAAGGCCGGTCCTAGGGGGGCAAGAAGGGCGACCGCCCTAGGCCCGAAAAATAGCACCAAAAAATAGGCCCATAATTTTTTCTTTATATATAGTGTGAGTAGGCTTCTTTTTTTGTATTTTTTATGGGGTAATTTGAGTTTGCACCCCATATTATTGTCTAAATTGGATTTTGCACCCCGTTTTTAAAATCTTCGTTTTTGCACCCCAACCCCATATGAAAAGACAAAAATGTCCTCAATCAGGAATATGTTGAAGGTCAACAGAATTATTAATTGAGGGGCATTTTTGTCTTTTCATATGGGGTTGGGGTGCAAAAACGAAGAGTTTTAAAAACGGGGTGCAAAGTCCAATTTAGACAATAATATAGGGTGCAAACTCAAATTACCCCATTTTTTATTAATATTTTTTAATAATTTTTTTTTTGTATTTTAAAACTCATTTAGTTAGGCCCACGATTTAATTTTGTCCATAAGTTGAAAATTCTAAAAGAAAACTTTAAAAAAAATATATAAAAGAAATGCATCGTGTCCCTCCCAAATCCCAATCCCCAAAATAAATCCCCAATTTCCCAATTCCTGAATTCCTAAACTACCAAACGGCCCATTCCAAAACCCCAGTAACCCAAAATCCCAAATACGAAGTACTAACTACTAATCAAGTTATTTTTTTCAAATCGGCAAAATCCAAAATCAAGTTACAAAGCAAAAGCCGTGTCTGTTCATCTTTCTTGCCGTCTTGGCCGACTGGCCCTTTGCCCCTTTGCCCAAGCCTCCAAGCATCTTCTTTCAACTTTCAAGGTTTCAATCTATTTAGCAGTCTCACCGGTGGTCAGTAAATTAATCTCAAACTATTAGTTATAAATGATGATTCTATTAAAATTTCTTTTGATTTATGATTAATGATTTATGATTTATCCTTGGCATCCTTGCAATTGCAATTTGTATATAAAAGAATGTTTTTGTTATATGATGCATTTTTATTGTCTTGTTAAATTGAGATTTGTGTGCTATTGCCTATTTAGTGTATTGTGCAGTTTTGAATTCTTTTATTGTTTTTTACGATTGTGAAGGTGTTTGATAAAATGGGTGAATCTGGTTGGGAAAAAACTCAAAAGAGGCAAAGATTAGAAAAGCCAGCCTTAAGTCAAAAGGGGGCAATGGAAAAATATGTTGTTGTTAAGAAGGTTAATCCTGAAAATTCTTCTCAAGTTGAATCGCCGGTAAATACTTCTGCGAATGAAAATCATAACACACCCGGGAATAATGATATTGGTGCAGAAGCTGCAAATGTTGAAACTGAGCCAATAGGTGAAGAGAATAAATCAGTGAGGGGTCATGTTTCATTTGATATTTATGATCCGGTTTATTGGGGGAACCTTGATGCCAAAATGAAAGATGTTTTAGTTGAAAAAGGGCCTATAAGGGAAACTCAACTAAAATACCCTCTTGATGCCCAGTTTAGACATTTTTCAAATGCCTATTACACTAGGAACATGAAAAATAAAGAAAGCGAAGATAGACAATGGCTAGTGTATTCCAAAAAGTGAATAAAGTCTTTTGCTTTTGTTGCAAGCTGTTTAAAACAAAAGAAGGTCCCAATCATTTAGCTAATGAAGGAACTAATGATTGGAAACATCTCAGCGAAAAGCTCTCTACCCATGAAAAAAGTGTTGAACATTTTACTAATGTGCAAAGATGGATGGAACTAAAGATGAGATTGGCGAAACAAAAAACTCTTGATTCAGCTATTCAGGAAAAATTGGCAAAAGAGAAGAAGCACTAGAGGGATGTTCTTAAGAGGATAATAATTTTAGTAAAGACTCTTGCTAAAAAAAACACTTGCCTTTCGTGGAAGTAGTGACAGAATTTACGACAAAAAAAATGGCAATTTTTTAGGGTTCATTGAGATGATTGCTGAGTTTGATCCTGTTATGCAAGAACATGTGAGGCACATTCAATGTGGTGAGATTCACTATCATTATTTGAGTCACAAAATTCAAAATGAATTGATTCTGAGGTTAGCAACGAGTGTGAAAAGTACAATTGTGAAACAAATTAAAGCTGCGAAGTACTATTCAGTTATTCTTGATTGCACACCTGACTCAAGTCACAAAGAACAAATGACTCTAATCATAAGATGTGTTAATATGTCATCAGGCAAAGCAGAAGTTGTGGAATATTTTT